CAACCTGGAGATGTTGGGTGTGGAAAAGGCCAGGAAAAGTGTTAATTGGAAGTTGGCTGATAAATTGCACGCGGCATCCTTTGCAGTGGCTTCCGATTTCCAATTCGCGATTCGAGTCGATCCGAGGAAAGGCAGACGAAAGGCGCCGCGAGAAATTGTTCTCGATATAAAATCAATTAATCAGCAGCTCTTGTCTATGGGCTTCGACTGTGACCTTTGCCCCGGGGTCTGCGTTATGGCTTCGTGGCTTCGTGTTAATTACGCCCACCCGCAGTCTGGAGTGGATCACGCTGCACTGGATGGAAATGGAACCCCAATAAATGTGCCAATGCCACATACCATATACCAAATACCAAACGGAATGAAAGGCACTCGAATAAACTTCAATCCCTTGCGGACTCCGGATGGGAATCCCTGGGAGTGGGAGCAGCTGCCACCGAAAAAGGCCACGATAAACTTGTCTCCTCTCGCTTGATTTACAAATGCTAAAACGTGGGCGGTCAGCCCACAAAAGAGCCGGCAAAAAGTTTATATCATAACCCAAACAAAACAAAAAGCAAGCGCTGGTCAAAATAATCTTGGCAGTTCGAAAAAAAAAGAGTGGGAAGTATTCCCCTCGACAAAGAGAAGAGGAAAATCGGTTGGGGTTGTAGAAAAACATGTTATATACATAAATAATTGCTAAAAAAAATGTAGGTCACGAGAAACATAAATTTATTACCCGTCTGAATTTGGCTTGATAATGATATACATTTAAAATGCTGTCAGAAAACATAATGTGGAACTCGGTTTCAGAGGCTAAAAATATGATGTTTACCCGGATGAACCTAGCGTTATAATAACTCACATTAAATTTTAAAATTAATTTATTTTGGTAAACAACATTTAACTTTTAATTGCTTTTCTAAAAGCATGAATTTATCATAAGCTAAAATGGAAAACAATAAGTCAAAGGTTTGAGTTATAAAAGAAAAATAAAATTTCCTAATTGGGTCTGAAGTGGAAGATTATTTTTGAGTTCAAAACACCCCCAAAGGTCTGAGAAACAATTGTGCGATGTGGAAATGACAGTTAAAACTTGAATTTAAAGAACTCCGAAAACCCCAAAGTTCAACGAATTGTAAGCTCTTCCCAAGGGCCAACTCAAATTATGCCCTTTGAAGTGACAAAAAACGTAATAAATATATTTGCAAAAAAAGAGAGAAGATAACCGAAGCCCGCAGACAGTTTTTTGATGCCTTGTGTGTCAAAAACAAAAACCGAAGGTTGCCAAAGAGGCAGAAAGTCAAAGGAACGTCAGGAACGAAAGCATCAGTCCCGGCAAAAGTGACAAACGATTTTCCGCTGCACAGGCTGCCTCATCCTCCCCTTTTTCCCCACCAGGAGATGCACCAAAATAATCCTGTGGTATAATTTAATTATACCCAGAAAAGCCCTATGAATATTGTAATTTTACCTGCACTTTCCAAGAAACGCAACCACGTGGAAAGCCCAGAAGTTGCGTAACTTTTAAAGGGCGCCCATTAAGTTTGCACACAACAATTATTTCGGCATCACAAGCTAAGCTGGCCGAAATAAAATTTTCATTGGGCTGTGCGGACACTTCAGTGATGTCTAAAGCCACCTTAAAGCCTCCGCCTCCAGGATAAATCCACTTCAATCCGCTCGAGATTGACAGAGCCGAGTTCCTTTTCGGCGCCACCCAAAACTAACTGAGTGACTAGGGGAACAGGACTGTCAAAATGCCACCACCATCACCTCGAGCACAAAAGGACCTACTCTTCCTTTCCCCTAAAGGAGCCAAAGGAGCAAGGGGAACCGGAGGACACTACTGTTTGGCGCCCACTTGAAATGGGTTTGACAGGGAAAATGGCAGCTTCCCTCAAATGCTTTGATTTCTTTTGTACTCCCAGGCAACCGAGGCACCACTTCTCCGGTTAATCGAAAAGCGAGAAAATCGACAGAAAATCGAGCTCTAGTGGAAAATTGCAAATGAAAGCGTGAACACGAAGCGCAAATAAATCTGTTAACAAAATATCAACAACTTCCGACGGCAGCTGAGCCATCGCAAGGAGAATTTAAAGTGTTTTCAGCAGATAGTTCATGTTGCCCAAGGTGATTTCGTAGCTTCTTTAAATGTTCAAGGAAAAAAATAAGTTTAAATAAACAAAATTTTTTGATTTTTAGTTTTTTTTTTATTTTGTAGAAAGTTTCTACCAGAAACGGTAAGAAATTGTGTAATATCTTAGTATATTAACCATACCTCTCTCAAAAAAATAAATAAATAAAGTACACCTGTGAGATTAATATTTGAAATAAATAGATATTAAAATATATTATATTATATATATATTATAATATATCCTTAAACGAATATCACTCTATATTTTTGCAAATATATACAACATTTATTTTGAATGAAGATATATACAATTTATATTTCTTTATATTTCTTTTAATTTAGCTTTTCTCCAAGTGTAAGTTGCCTCACATTGTCTGATGTTTTCACGTCTTTCCACATTTCCATGTGGATTGAGAGGATTATCGCTACGGGGCCTCAAAGAGCTGCCCGCAACGAAATCCCTGTCTGTGGTTGGGCTGCCATGGCAGCGGAAGCATTTCGGGTTCCGTCCCTGTCAAGTCAGCACTTCCTGGAGCCCACCTTCTTTCCCATCCATTACCATTTTTCCCCGAATTTCCCCGAGTCTCCGACCATTTTCCACCATCACGGCGACGCATCTCCATCTCCATCTCCTTTGGGAGACAGTGGACCGGACAGGCGACGTCTGAGTGCTATCGGATATAGTGGGGCCACTCAACGCTCCTCCTGGGGCGAGCTTTAATGCAAAGTAGCTAACTGGTTTAGAGACACGCCCCCGGCATGTGTGGTTGGGGGACGGTGACGGGAAAAGGCCAACCCACAGGCCAAAAATGGGTGCCAAACGACTTCCGACCAGGCTTACTTTGAATGGGTCACGTGCTGGCAGGAAAATCAACAAGAAAGGAAAAATTATGCACAGGGGAAAAAGAGAAATATATTTAAATGTTATTAAAAGCATATTTGCATATTTTGTTACCGCTTTAAATTGGGTGTTTTATAATAGAAGGCTATAATAAATACAAAATATATTATATTATAATATTGCCATCAGCTCTTTATTTATTAGGCTATCAGGTAATTTTAAATCCCTGGTACAAACATATTTCATTTGTTTTTCCTTTGGATATTGTCATTTAATCGGTTTCAACTTATTTATTATTGTTTGGAGAATTGCCTATTACATTTTAAGACATTTTAAAGACATTTCTTTCCGTATACCTTCATCTGTGCAGGTCTCGAGTATAATCAAATTTCTTTTGTGGCTTGCCGGCAAGTCGATGCAATTGAAAAATAATTGAACATCTCGAATGCTTATTGAATGTCATTTGGAAATTCATGGCTATGCGGATATGTGTGTACCATGACAGGACGAGGAGGAGGAGGGGGAGTAGGTTCCGGCCAGAATCAGACCCCGCATATCTAATGGATCTCCGCCCCACGCAGGCATTCAGTCGACATTGTCAACGTTCGGCATTCCACATGCCATGCACGCTGGGAAAAAAGAAAAATTATTGATTTGGTTTTAACGGCACTTAGGCCCTCATAATTGAGATCCTCGCCTTTGGCCCGTTCTTCTGGCCCTAAAGGCAAAGAGGTGTGGGTCCTGGGTCCTGTTCGAAATGTGACATAAATTGAAGGATGATTTGGAAAAGGGAAATCTGTGTTTTCTTTTTTTTTGGGGGAAGTTAATGCCGCCTTTGGGGGCCTGTCAATCAGAAATCTTTTCAAAATGAAGCCCAACATGGCAGGAATATATTGACAAAATTTCCTGAATCTTAAATCCCAGTTATTAATTTGCTTTAGCATAACAAAAGTGGGATCTAAAATATCGCCTGAATGACTCCTCTTTTTTCCATAATCCGGGCTTTAAAAATTTCTTAAGTTCCACTGCAGAAAATATAATAAAAAGGTTTATTTCTACTGAAAATCTGTCGTTTTATTTAGCACTTCTCACATATGTATCTTTATTTTACAACCCTATTTCATTTGGAAAAACGCACAAAAAAGCCAGGCATGTCATAAATAGCTAACGTTAATCAACATATGCCTAAAAAAAGACAGTGAGTCACTTGGAGGAAGTAAATTGAAATGCAAACATAAATTTCGCAAATAGATCCGCACATAAATCTAACATGAAGCAGTTGGGGAAAAGCGCAAGATAGAATAAAAATGTAAATAAATACCAGTCCAAATAAGATAAACGAACGTTTTACGAGCACTCGAAGGGGATTTTAAACACATTCGCAGCCCGGTCTATTAAAAGCCCGTTGTAGTTGCGAAAAGTGGGAAAATTCGTGGGGCGGGGCAGCAGGCAGGGCTGTTTATCATTTCGTTCGATGATTTATTACCCATACGCCAGGGGGCCCGAAAAAAAAGGGTTAACTGCCATATGGACGGGCTGAGGTTCCATAAATTTTTGGCATAAATACATTTTGGCGCGCTCAAAAGTCGAATGAAAACCTTTTCATTCATAAGAACAAATCGAATGGGATCCACTGCAAAAGCAGGAAAAGTAAAAGGCAAAGGCAAAACCTCTGCAAAGGAGAGTAGAAAACTGTGAGTTTTCCTCTCTCTGTTTTGAAAAGAAAATGTTTTTTCCGGCTCTCTGTTTTCCACAGAAGCTGCAACTTCAACAAGTCCGCCAGCTGTTGCCTGTGGATCCCAAGTGGAAGCTGTTTTCCGCCCAGCTGCACCAGTTGCTTCTGGTGGAAGGCGTTTTCCCCTGGGTTTCCCCGAGTTTTCCGAACAGCTGTCGCTGCCGGCGTCGACGCCAGAAAGCTGGCAACACTTTCGACAGGCGCCCAGGAAAAGCCGACCGTCGATTTTCCGAGTGCTCGGGGAAAATCGCGAGCAGCTGCCGCTCGAGTTTTTCGCAGTTTTTCAGTTGGTTTTCCATAGCGGCGCCGCACGCACGTGTCTCGGAGTTTTTCCCGGTTAGCAAATAAAGAACTTGTCATCGAATCGCCGGAAAATGTGCCGCTAAGATGAAAAATCATTATTATTTTCGGTCAAATGCGGTTGCAGTGGATTTTTCGTAATATCTGTTTTTCCAATTTGTGTAAGTTACCCTTGCCGGATTTTCATTTCGGCTGGTCGGTGAACTTTTGGTGATTTTATTCGCATTTGGTATCTGGCATCTGTGCTCGTGTCCAACTTATATTTCATTTATGGCCGAAAAAGGTTTATCTGATTAGCATAATGGCCGCCACATCCATGGGGACACTGTGCCTAATGTCCTGCAAATTGTATTCTGCGTAATCTTCTGGGTGTGTACCATTTGATTGATGTGGGTAGAGCCCAGTAATAAGTGGATAAAGAACAAAGAAACGCTGCCCAAAAGATTAAGAAAGGATGCTCAATGGGAATTTAAATACCTTTTAAATGACTTTCCTTAAAATGAAATATAAAACTTTGCAGAAACTTTACATGAGCTGTAATTATACGTATTTATGTGCCACAAAGAAGGGATTAAGTGTACTCAGAAAAATTCTAGCATCGTTTAAGACTTCTTTTTCAAACTATAATTCCAAAAAAGAACTATAAAATATATAGTTATGATATATTTGTATTAAATAATTTCTTAAAAATGAACTATTTATTGTTGATTGTAATTTTTTTATTTTTAATATATTTGATGGATAAAGTTCCACCCTCATACAAAACCTTACTGTTTATGTAGTCATATGTGGTCTTATAAAATATTTCCTAAATTAATCTTACTCCTACTTTAATGGTTAGCAAACTTTGGCAATTAATGTAAGTTATGCGGCCTTTGTAATCCCCATCAAAAGTGACTTACAAGTTTCCTAGACTTTTCCACTTATCTGCATTTTGCGGCAAACTTTTCTGCCCGCGGCAATAAATTAACTAAACATTTTTTATGATCAATGCGGCCGCTAAAGTGCAATCTAAGGGCCAGACTCAACTGGCGACTGGGGAGCACTTTCCTCGAGAACAAGAAAAACCTGAGAAGGTTATGCCAAAATACAAAATATATGTGTGTGCGCTCGCATGTCGTCAATGAACAAATAAACAATAAAACTGGGAATGAGACAACAAACATTGTTTGTACAAATGCGGCAAAGTCGTAAAAAGTGTTGTGAGCATAAAATTTGAATTTCCAGAAATGTACGGGAAAACAGGCATCCATGAAGGGAAACAAAAAACATAAAGTAAACCTCAAACAAATGTATACAAAAATATTTTGCATTCTGTGCTAGATTTCCTTTCTGGGTTCCTTTCAACTTTGCTTGCTGTAATTTTTTTATGGCCCACAATAAATAAAAGTCAACTAGAGAAGAAAGGCCACCACAGGCAAACAAAAGGTTGGCTTGCGAAAATATTTGCACAGTGGCAAGAGTGGCAAACAAAAACCACCAGCTAGAGCAAAGTTTTCTAATTTCCCTCAAGGAAATGCCAAAAATACAAGCCTTTCATGTCAATACACACAAAAAGAGACACAATGCATAAAGATTTCAATTTATGGATGCCCGGAGGGTTAACAGCTTGCAGCAATTAGCCGCATGTGCGAAATTCTCGCAGCTGCCGAGGCCGTAATGCGACTCAATTTATGCACTTGCCCGCTGGCTTTAATTGCCAGTCGAATTGTTGACACATTTAGCCAAAACAGAAGGCCGACCCATCAATTGGGGCACCAAATAGTAAGCAGACATGCCCCTCGAAGGAATGCCAGTGTCAAGAGTCGTGGCCGAGTACTTCAATCCTGATCTCGAACCCTCAATCCCAATGCCAAGTCCATTGTGCGTAGAGCAGAACCTGAACTTTTTGGTTTCGGTTAAGTTGGGCAGCTAATTAATTTTTGTGCCAGCTGCCACCGCCAGATTCCAAGTCAGCATCCAAGAGTCCAGGCCCCCAGATGAGACAGTAATTGTCCATTGTGGTTCGTTCGGTTTTGGCCCAAGACGGGGCACGTGCCAGTGGCCCAAACCAACACCATTGGCCTGCGGCTTTGGGCCAAGACAAACTTCGGTTACATAGTCGGTGGGCTCTTGGTTTTGAGTATCATTTAAATTAATTGCCGGAGTTTAGCTAGCAAAAGAATGCAGAAACAGTTAATGCGTCGGGCATTCAATTAATTAATACTAAATTCCTTTGTTCCTCAAGCTTAAATGATAAGTTTAAGTAACCTCAGGTTGTCTATGGGTTAATACCATCATTAGTCAATATTCTCAATATTACCACATGAAAATGAAGCTGGTAAAGATTTTAAGGCATCGTTGGCTTGGAAACTAACACAAGAAAAAAAGTTCTACATCGGAATTCCCTTGCTCCTCAAAACCTCCCTTCCTTACATAAATTGTTGGGATATATTTAATTTAACTGCTGCTGAAATTCAGTTAATGTTGCAAGAAAATATTACATGTGGAAAGCATGCATCTAATTAGTTCCGAACATCCTTGTTTCTTAAACTTTCCTTGTTATTTGTTTTCCCTCAGGTCATAACATTTAACTTGAATGCATTACGCATATGCCACATGGGCCGTGGGCCTTTAAAACCCAGGCGTCAGAGCGTAAAATCATAATTCCTTATAATAATAACAATAATTCCTTTGTTTAACCCAAAAAAGCGACGTGAAGGTTGCAAAGTTGAGCAGTTGAGCCACATGTGTGCTTTTTTGATAAAGGAAGTGGGGACACTTTACAGCCTGTTACAAAGTTGTGAACCCTGCAAAAGTTTTCCTAGCCCATTTAGTTCATTTGTGGGCAGAATGAATAAATTCAAATGAGAATGGTTCAAAAGATTTATTTTCATTTCTTTGGGGAGTCTAGGAGTCTGCCCAAGGTCCGATAAAAATAAGACGACCGCCGGGCGGGCCATTCATCAGCTATCTGGGCACGTGATGGCGTACTAAAAGGGAAAATGGGGAAAACCCTTAAAGGGATCAATAATTCACATTCCAAGTGCTGAGCCTTGAGAATCGGGGGTTGAACTGGGCAAATACATATATGGATACGTATATCCGAGCACTTGAAAGGTTGGATGCTGCGTAATATTTTCATGCAACAAACCGTTGCAAGGTCAAAACCGGAGGCCCCATCATAATCGCAAAAGTTTCCACATATGCCATGCATGAGCGGTCCATAACCATATCTCGTATTTATATCACTTCCTTCCCCATCCATCTCTTGTTCTTCCTCTTGCTCAGTCGGAAAATAGCATTGCATAAATCTGGGCAAATATTACGCATACGCAGCAGCTTCGTGCGGAAAAGCCATATCAAGCGCCATATCATCTTGCCATCTGTCAGTGCAGCGCGCTCTGCAAATCTCACCCATAAATGATGATTGCATTTAAATGTTATTTATGCCGATGCGTTGTACCAAAAAGTCCGTGTGAATTATGCAGTCCTCGGGGAGATTGTTTAATTAAATTAAATGCATCTGGAAAAGCAAGGATATCGCATCGCAAAAGTTCTTGAGAAATCATGAGCGGCAGTAAAATGTCGTACAGAGAAGAACCATTAGTGGATAAGCCCTTACATTTTATTTAGTTGCTCAAACCATTTCTGAGAATTCAAATGGGTGACGTGCTGCTCAGCTGCGTTTCTTAGAGTTCTACAATTTTAACAAATTGCAAGTAAGGACAGGCGAGGTTTATTACTTATTCCTATGAACAAGATTTAGAACTATCACTTTGGCTTTGAATTGCTTACAAAAGTGTCAAAAAGTATGCAACAAAATATATTGAAGACGAAAAGATTTAATCTTTTATTTATTGCATACTCTTAGGCACCTTTATACGTGAATCCAAAATGCTTGCTATTTCTTTCATAAATTAAGGGAAATGGATTTTTCTCTAACTTATAAAAACCTGATAACTATTAGAAGTGTCGAAAAATTACAGCATAATCACTCTAGGGATTAAAAGTCACTGCAGGTTTTCTCCGAACATCCTTGAACTTCCTCATATATCTTTGTAGTACATCTCCCAATTCCGAGGATGAATAGCTAAAAAATTGGCAGAGAAACATTGCTATCTGAATACAAGTGATTGCAAGAATGGAAGCTTAAAGTCGACGCCAAGATAGATCGAATGCAATTATTCTGATGGCGCCTGGCACGAAAATAACTATTTCTTGGCCACGCTCTTTAAGCTCAAGTGCTTTGTTTTGGGGGCAAGGGACTTTCACTTGGACTTGGACTCGAACGTGGACTTGTTCTTCGACCGACACGCTTGTGAAAATAAACAAAGCCAATGGCAACGGCAAATAGACAAAAGACGCGGCAGACAGCGGCCCTTAAAAGATTATAAAGAAGCAGGGTGCTCGCTTCGTGGGTGGATGTCTGATGGCCAGACAAACTGTTGCTCATGCCCCATGAAACATGGCATCGAGCATAAGTGGAAGTCGCTTCGAGGATGGCTTTCATTATTTCTCCCTTTTTCTGTTTCCAGCAGTCTTGGTTTTTTGTGTTTGCCTGATAGCTGTCAATACAGAATCAGAAACAGTTAACAGGCAGCCGCAGCGGAAAAGTTACGATTCAGCATTATTCCTTTATGTTTATGTCCAGTTTTGTGGATAGCTCTTTAAGAGCACTCTTCCAGAGTTATGAGTTTCTTGTCCTGTCACCTAAACACGTTCTCTCGCTGTCTTCCCCCAACAAAAAATAAAGAACTCTCAGCTCTAAGCTCCTGCCACAAGACAAATGGGATTTTTCAGCCAGGTCTAATTTACATATGCTTATCAGGCGCCCGCCAACCACATATCACTCCCTCTGTCCAATTTCCCAGCTCGAGAAATCTTTCTGCAACAAAGGAAATGGAAATTGCATCGAGACAGGGCATCAACAAGCTTCTCAGGCAGAGACAGATGGCAAGTCGAAACTTCTGCTAGAAAGTCGGGGCCAAGAGGTAAAACAGGAGGTTAAAAGGACGAAGGGGTTTCCAGGAACGAAATACTTTTGTGGCATAAACAGGAAGCACTGAGGACGCATTACCTGCTGTTGACATTTCGCAAGCAGCCAGGCATGGAACGTGAGGTCTTCGGTTCACAGAAGATCTAAGGTCTTCCCTTTCGCCCACTGAGCACTTGCTTGCTG